AGGAGGTGGGCCATGGGAGGAGGTGGGCCATGGGAGGAGGTGGGCCAACACTTTCTTACGTCCAGGCTCATAGTCGGATAGTTGAGGCTTACATTTCTCCTCTAACCCTCCACAATAAACTGGTTGTTATGGAGGCAATGGAAGCGGAGGGCTTTTAGGGGCCAAGCATATCACACAGGGAACTGAATTGCTTATTATCAGAGATGCTGACCTTTGGAGCTTTGAAGTAAAGAATTTTCGTATCTTTCTTCCCCCACCTCCCTCATTCTTTATTTTTTCACCCCTATGTCCCCCAGAATTCCCTTTTCAGACTTCCCGCTTTCTTCCTTTTCTTTCCCCACTTCGTGGAGTGCTGGCGCGTGGGGCCTGGGGCTGCATTGGGCGGGCACCCGGAGCTATTGCTTTGCTAACAATTCCATCCTTCTCTTTCCGTCAATCCCTGCCAGGCGCTGAGTTTTTCCCTCCCTCTGGGCTCCTTCCCTCCCGCGGCTCGCACGCGGGAGGGCGTCTCCAGGAACTCCAGGCGGACGCGGCCACGAGCCGCTGCCACGTCTCCGCCGCCAACAGTGCAGCGCCTGCGTGGAGTCGGGGGGCGGGGCAGCGCTGGAAGGCGGGATCTGCGCGTGAGCGGTGCTTGAGCGGTCCAATGGGGCCTACCGGCGGCGGCGCGCTGCGCGCCGGGGGGCGGGGCCTGGCGGCGGTTGCTGGCGGAGCCCGAGAGGCGGTGAAGGCTGTCGTTGCCTTGGCCGTCGCATCCCAGCGGGAGTCGTGTAGGTACCCACCCCTGGCCTTCGAGCCCGCAGATTGCCCACCGAAGCTCGTGTGTGCACCCCCCGATCCCGTCAGCCGCTAGCCCCTGGCCTTGCGGGACGTGTCTCCGGCATCATGTGTGGTAAGGGGGCCGGGGGCGGGGGGCGTGTTGCCGGGCGGCGCTGGGGTGCTGTGCGGGCGCCGGTGAGGCCCAAGGCTACGGGCGGAAGCGGGAGTGTGGAGTGTGCGAAGTCTGGGTGATGGGCACGGGGCGTCCCGTGGTGGCTGCGGGGGGCAGGGGCCGGCATCCGCGGGCGGGAGAGGGGGTGGCGGCCGGGAGAAGGGCATCTGAGAGGAAGGCGGGCCCCCTCCGCCGGGGGCCAGCGGGAGCCTTGGCGCGGAGAAGGAACCGAGTGGGGAGAGAAACGCTTTTATTGAAAAAGGAGGAGAGGGCTGAGGGAATTGAGATGTGGAGGGGGATACCTTCAAAAGGGCCGACCAGGTGAGTGAGGCAACCTGTGGAACATCGGGCGAGATCTCTTGAACTTATCTTGCATTTTTCTAGGATTTACCTTTCAAAAAATAATCTGTTTTTATTTGTTTTCGGGCAGGCCCAATAGAAAACAGACCCTAGCTAGAGAGCCACGATAGAGGCTTTAAACGTGGTCTTACTTCCTGCCATCCCTTGTCTCAACAGAAACCACTGCTAATCAATAACTTGGTTGATGGGCTTAGACCTGATCCTCTGGTGGAAGAGGCCTGGAAATGTCTGTGGCGATCGGTTATACATCATGTATCATTTGCATGTGCACCCATTAAAAATGCCAGCTATGAAAAATATAATTTATCCCTTGGATGTATACCCCTTTATAATACCAACTATGAAAAATATTTATCATTTATCCCTTGCATTTGTACCCATCAAAAATACTAGCTATGGAAAGTTTAACAAGTATCTTTCCTACAGCCGTTAAAAAATTAGTTAGGTTCTTTTATGTTTTGACAGTCGTTTTTATTATTACCTAAGTGTTAGTGAAAGAGATTGTGAGAATCGTGTCTGACATGACTGATGTCCTCTAAAATTGGTATTAACTTGGCTATTGCCAGTAAAAATAATTGTATTCTTACCTTTCTTACTGAAATTTACAACCGACTTTATCCCTGGCTGGAAGAGAACACTTTTTTTTTTTCTTTTTTAAGGGAAGTACCATTGTAAGTGAATTGAAACTCTCTTCGAGACTCATTTGCAGGCTTTTGCACGAAGGAACTGAACAGGAGGTGGATTGTACTCATTAATGTATATATTTCCTGTATTTAACTTTATGCTCATTTCAGCTTCTGAAAATGAGGAGCAGGTTTAAATTTAGAGTAGATTAAAAAAAACCCATATAAAAACAGAAACACCTATAAATAGCTTACTGAAATTATTAGAGTAGAGCTGACTTCAGAATCAGACTTTTGCAGTGTCTAGTTAGTAGAATGGTTTTGCATTTAGTTTGGAGGTGTGAAGTAGTGAATTTGTCAACTGGTCAGTCTCCAGTGTGTTTCATTTGTTTGTTAACTGTTCCTGATTGATTAGGTGTGTGCCTCATTTAGTATTCAGTATTGTGGTTGCAGGTTATTTCCTTATGTTCCAGAAAAAAAAAACCATAAAGTACTTGTTTAAAAAAAAAAAAAAAAAGAATCTGGGCACGGTGGCTCACACCTGTAATCCTAGCACTTTGGGAGGCCAAGGCAGGTGGATCACCTAAGGTCAGGAGTTCGAGACCAGCCTGGCCAACATGGTGAAATCTCCGTCTCTGCTAAAAATTCAACATAACCGGTGTGGTGGCATGTGCCTGTAATCCCAGCTACTCGGGACTGAGGCAGGAGAATTGCTTGAACCTAGGAGGTGGAGGTTGCAGTGAGCTGAGATTGTGTCCAGCCTGAGCAAAAAAGAGCGAAACTCCGTCTCAAAAAAAATAAAAATAAATACATATATACATACACAAATAAAATCACATATAGAAATCAGGTTCAGATAAGGGAAATACACCCTTAGCATGGAGACTAAATGTTGGGAGTGTTCACATAGTCTGTGCCTCCATTCTACAGAGTTTTACTGCTGAGGAAATGGGTATTGAAGAAATAAAAAGTGAATATTTGAGACATTTCTGAGGTCCTGCTTTTAAGTCATACCACAGTTTTGCATGATTCTAGGGTTAGGGTTCAGAATTTACTTTCTCTCTAATGTAAATTCTGAAAGAAGATGAGTGTCGTTATTTTTCACCCACATCTTAATCATTGAACTAAGATTTCTGAGTAGAGAAATGGAGTGAAAATTAGACTAGATGGGAAAATCTGGAAGCTTGTCTTCTGATTACTTGCGACCTAATTAAGTTTTTCTTTTTCGAGATGGGGTCTCACTGTGTTGCCCAGGCTGCAGTGCAACAGCACGATCTTGGCTCACTGCAGCCTGTCTCTTGGGTTCAGCCTCCTGAGTAGCTGGGATTACAGGGGTGTGCCACCACGCCTGGCTAATTTTTGCATTTTTAGTAGAGGTGGTGTTTTACCATGTTGGCCAGGCTGATCTCCTGACCTCAGGTAATCTACCTGCCTTAGCCTCCCAAAGGGCTGTGATTACAGGAGTGAGCCACTGTGCCTGGCTCTAGTTAAGTTTTTCTAAAAGATTATTTTATTTCAATGTTGTAAAATGTTCAAACAGAAGAATGAGGATTGAAGATTCTGATAGGCTTTTTTCAATCAGATATACTGATTAAATTGATATAATGTTTAACAACTTGTGTTGGGATGTTAATAAGTGTTAGGAAAAAAGGGTCTATGGTCCGGTAAATTTGGGAAGCAACATATTAAATATCATGCTAATGTTTTGTTTTGTTTTTTGATTAGAGGACTTCTTGGAATCTTTAATTTTTTTTTTTTTTTTTGAGACGGAGTCTTGCTCTGTCACCAGGCTGGAGTGCAGTGGCGCCATCTCGGCTCACTGCAGCCTCCACCTCCCCGTTCAAGTGATTCCCCTGCCTCAGCTTCCTGAGTAGCTGGGACTGCAGGTGTCTGCCACCTCTCCTGGCTAATTTTTGTGTTTTAGTAGAGACGGGGTTTCACCATGTTGGCCAGGATGATCGCTATCTCCTGACCCCATGATCTGTCTGGCTCGGCCTCCCAAAGTGCTGGGATTACAGGCGTGAGCCACCACGCCCGGCTAGAATCTTTAATTTATTAATGATAAGCATTGCGAATCTCCCAGAGAAGAAAGGTGTGTCTATTTTCCAAATTTATCTTCCTTTTTTTTGGTTGGAATATAGTTTGTCCTTTTTATTTGTATTATTTTTGGTTGTGCTGAGATAGTGTTGAGTCACTTAAACTATCCCTAGCTTTTAACAGATTTTGTTATTGTTATAAATGTGGGGTTATACCCTTCTGATCCAATGGCGTATGTAAAATGGAACTTTGGGCTGGGTCCGGTGGCTCATGCCTGCAATCCCAGCACTTTAGGAGGCTGAGGCGGATGAATCACCTGAGGTCAGGAGTTTGAGACCAGCCTGACCAACATGGTGAAGCCCCATTTCTACTAAAAATACAAAAAAATTAGCCGGGCGTGGTGGCACACGCGTGTAATTCCAGCTACTTGAGAGACTGGGGCAGGAGAATCACTTGAACCTGGGAGGCAGAGGTGGTGGTGAGCTGAGATGGTGCCACTGGACTCCAGCCTGGGTGACAAGAATTGAGACTCTGTCTCAAATACATAAAATAAAATAAATGGAATTTTTGCAAATGAGATTCTTTTTAAAAGCAGTAAGGGAACTTGCAATTTTAAAGTATCCTGACATAAATTTTGCAGAAGTTTTTTGTAATTATACTGTCTAATGGCTTTAGGGATAATTGAGGGATGCTGAGATTGGCTGCTAGGATTGGTCATAAAAGCAGTACTATTAACATATCCTTAGAAGTCATACTGGATATGAAGAAGTTGTGAGAGAAAATAATTGCTTAATAAGCATTTCTTCAATTGTGTTCCCTGGAAACGGAAGTTAATAGGTTCTGGTAATGAGCACTGGAAGGGGGAAAGGGTTTTGTTACACAAGTTTGGGAAATTCTCCTCTTGGAGATGAACAATTAGCAAGATTAAAGGTTCTAGAAAATTCTAAATATATATCTAACTTTAACCAGGTATTTCTTAAACCTTTAATAATGAAACCTTTCTTCATTTCCTTTCTTTTTAGCATCCTGTGAAATATCATTTTGTTTCTGTGGTTTGGGAATTTTTTTACCATATATTTCAAGTGCCTAGAAAGTGTTAAAAGATACTTGCAGGTATGTCAAATGATGGCTTTATAATTGGCACTCTGCCCTTTTCAGAGATGACTAAAGAGTTGCTTTCAAGTAATTGCTGCCTGATCAGAGGAAAGAAAATTAATGCACATGCAGCAGCTTCAGATGAAAATACACAGTCCTTGTTCATTGCCATGTCGTAGATCACAGCCGGAATGAATAGAAATTTAGAGACTGGAGAGCTTTGGGCTTTGGGTATCTGCATTAGGTCAGGAATGTTCTGGGTGATGGGGCAGGACTCTTACTTTGAGGAATAATGCCAGCTTGTAGAGAACTAGCATACTGTGAGAGATAGTCATTGATGGCTTATGTTACCCATCAATGAATGGAGGCAGAAATATGTTGAGAACTACTACCAGAGGGGTTGAAGGAGGAAATAGAAGTGCCAGGAAAGTAGACCAAAGAATGGCGGTTAAAGGCAAAAGAGTTCCAAAGTAGTATATTGCCTTGGACAGAGTCTGTAAAAGTAGAAAAAGGTCATTTGTATATAATACTTCAGAGAAGTTAATTGGATATGGTTATGAAGAAATCATTAGAGAATGCGTATGTCAAGGCAGAAGGGTCTCAGTTTGTGTTTAGGAGGAGGCCTGCAAATAATACCAAAAAGAAGAGGGAGTGTTTTGGAATTGAAGTTCCCTGGGAGTATTGAGACGTTGGATTCTAGAACTGTGGTTCCTGACCTATAAGCTCTGAAGTTGTTACAGGGTGTTCATTGCTTATTCATATGCTTATAACTTTGTCTATAAGTTGAATGAAAATTGTTCTGTATCACTGAATGGTAAAAATTTAACCCATTATTGTGAAGGACCC